TTTGAGTCAAACTTTGTTATTGTCTACTGGGTGCCTTTTTATTCTCATGCTTTTCAGGGTAAGTTTTAATTTCATGTCCTTTGTCTTATAGATTCATTGGGTGGATTTATCTGTTCTATATTTAGGGTCTTTTATCTTCTAAGCTCCTGTAGTGGTTTTGTACCTTAGGTGTTACTTATTGTTTTAAGTTGAATTTCCTAGTTTTGTAGGTTTGTTATTTTTATGTACTTTGTAGAATCTACACGTTTCTAAGTTTTGTTAGTTCATTAGTAATGTGTACTTTCTCTATGTATGTTTAGTTTATGTGCCTTTTTGGCTACATTTCACAACAGTTCTGTGGGTTCTATCTGAGGGTTTCTGCCTTCTGTTTGGCTCCCCATCTGTCCAATTCTCAGATCTCCTTCCCTTCTCTTCGAAATCATACCTCATCCAGTTGTCTTGCAGGGTCTGCTCAAGACCTACCACACAAAGGAGCTATTGAATGGGTGGTGGCCACTCAACCGGGATTTTACTCCTGTCTATTTATTGTTTCCAAAAACAAAGGAGATTTGAGTTCCGTCTTAAATTTGTACCAGCTGTATAATTATCTGGAAACATCTACCTCTAACTTGGGTCGTTTGCCCCAGTGTAATGTAATTTTTCTTTGGTTCATCTACGAAGATTCTGTCTTCCAGTTCTGGGCACTGCCATTAGTTCTTTCTTCAGCTCCATATGTGTTTTATCAAGTGGTATGCTCATTTGCACATCACCTTCACTTGTTGAGTCTTCGGACTCCCTATTATGTGGACAACTGGCTTCTGCTCGCCTCTTCCCATGCCCAATCAGTTACTCACACCCGCTTACTTCTTCATGAAGCTGCTTCGGTGGAGAAGTCTTTTACTACCCCCTTCCAGTTTGTTATTCATTTGGAGGTTCCCTTCACTTCCCATCTCCGTCAAAGCCACCTTCTCCACTTTGGCTTCAGGATATGGAGTGAGCAGTCATGAAGGCCCTACCTTCTCCTTCTCTCTCTGCATGTGAAATTCTCTTTTGGGGATGTGGGCTTTCTTGGAAGCTCTCATTCCATTTTGTCAGGTGCACATGCTTTCCCTTCAGTGGATGCTTCTTGACCTGTGTAACTTCCCCCACGATTCCTTGGGCCATTCCATCTCCCTTCCACCTGGGACCAGGGCTGTCCTTGTTTGGTGGCTTGACAGGGACTTGACCACAGTGGAGGTTCTCATTCCTCCACCTCATACTGAGTCTCATCTATTTAAAGACGTTTCCTTGGGGACTTTCCTTGATTCCCCAGAAATTTTGGGTTGGTAGTCAGTCTAGGAGGTTACTCTCCAAATCCACATCCTGGAACCTTTGGCAGTTCATCAGGCTCTGTATCATTTTCTCCCATTCTTGTGGGGGAAGGTGATTATAGTTCATTCTGACAATTCTACTATCATCAGCTATATCTCCCAAGAAAGGGGGAACCAAGTCTAGATCTCTTTGTTTTCAGACTCTGGATCTCCTGTACTAGGCTAATGACACAACATGATTGTTCTGGCATGTCATGTTTCCAGAGTTATGAATCTTGTGGCTGATCGCTTATCACATCTCAGTCAGGTTCTTCCGACACAGTGGTCCCTTCATCTTCAGGTTTTTTTGTTTTTTTTTCTGTGGGTGTGTTCTCAATTGGGAATGCTAAATATATATGCATTTACCACTCACTGGAATGCCAACCTTAATTCCTTTTTGGTATCCAGTTCCTCAACCCTCGGCTCTTGGAGGTGGAGGCTTTCAGGAAAGTTTGGAGGGGTTTTCTCCTATATGCCTACCCTCTGATTAGACTCATCTCCTAGGTCTTTCTCCACTACTTGTTGTGCTCTACTGGTTGCTCCATTTTAGTTGGCTCAGACATAGTTCCTTCTACTTTGGCCCTAACTAGAGCAACAGCCTCTGCCCTTATCTCAGTCCTGATCACTGTGTTTTTCATCCCACCATTACCACACTTCAGCTTCACGTGTTACTTTTATCCTTGTCCTGTGCCTCAGCTCAGGTACTTGTCCCTCATGTAGAGGCTTTCCCTGCCTGTATCATTTGCCATTCCTCCTTGTCTGTGTACCAGAGGTGTTGGTCTTATTTCAAACTTTTGTCTATTGGCCTCGACCTCTGACCATCCCATCCTTCTCTTCCTCACCTGGTTGTTTGATCAGGGTTTGTCTGTTGCAAGTGCTGCTCTTTATTGGATTGCCCTTTCGAACACCTTCCATTTTCGGAAAGTCTTCTCTTCCCATTAGTTTCCTCCTTTTCCCTTCTTTTTGTCTGGTCCATTCACCACATTCCTTTGTTCTGCCAGATTGAAATCTCCATGTTGTCCTTCATGCTATGTCTGGTTCTCTCTTAAAACCCATTGCAATGTGTTCCTTGTACTCTTTTTCCCTTTAGACCTATTTTCTCCCCCTTCTGGTATGTGGTCATCATCATTCCGATATTTATACTATTAATGTTTCCCACATTCTTTACTATTCCTCATATGTTATCTGCTATCTGGATTGGGCCTTCCTTTATAGGACATCACATGCCTGGGAAGGTTGTTTAGCCTTTTATTCTAATTTCTTACCTTCCTTTTCCCACCTGTACTCCCATTTGGATTCAAATCGTCTACTTTGTTCAGTTCATTTCCTGCTATGTTGTATGGCTCATACTGACTCCTTTAGTGGATCTGCTTCCTGTCCATGTGTTCCATGAATTTCCTCTGTTTCCTGTGATCTTTCACATATTAAGCTCACTGGTTGGGTTTGCCAACTCATACGTTTGGAGTCTTCTGATGTATCCGTGGAAGGTTACCGTCTACATAATGTTTCTTCACACCAAGTTTATCATCTAAATATGTCTTTGGCTGTTTGACACCACTTTCTTTTGGAGGAGAACAATCGGACTGGTACAGGAACAACTCCCTGTACATTTGTCACTCTTTATTTGCACAACATAGCTGTGTCTTACTTGGGTGGGTGTTGTCTTCCTCCTGTGACGATTCTACACATGTCTGTTCACATATATAGGACTGTTACTCATGGACTTCATGAGTAAAGCAGATTGGGATTTTTGCCCATCCCTACTGACCCATGATTCTTACAATTGGGGTCTTTCTGCTTTTGAAAATAGGGAATCTCACACACCCAGTGCACTGTCTCCAGTGTGCCATTTCTCCAGACACCTCCATGTGTTCCTCCCCCCCCACCTTATTTTTTTTCTTCTATTGAACACAGTAGTCATTCCAGTTCACAGTCACTGGAGTGGTGGACCATGGAGGTTTCCTCAGGATTGGGGGTTTGTACTATAAACTAAATCAAAATTCATAGATCATATGTACCCACTCAGTGAAAAGAGGGCTATCATCGTTACATTTATTGACTGTGCAATAACAATATTCTGGATCTAAGGTGCTTCCCCCAGATGGTTTGTCCCAGGTTGACCACACTTGTTGATCAAATTGATCACACAATCAACTTCTTATGCAAGGTGCTTCCATTGGATGTTTTTGCATGGGCTGACAGCACTTATTGCTCACAAAATCAATTACAAACAAAATATAAAAACAACAATCTTATGCAAGGCACTTTCAGTGGATGTTCTCTGCCCAGATGGACCGCACTTAACATAGTCTGACATATACTAAGGAGCTTCCCCTGGATGTTTTTTACCCAGACAGACCACACTTGGCCTATTCATATACATTTTATAGTCCTTTATCCCCAACCAAATATACTTATATCTGATTAGCAGGTACCTTCCTAAATTCTAATGGTCATTGTGTCATGTGTTCATGCTTGTTCCATATGTGGACAACTTGGCTACTGTCTGTTGTCCACAGGTGGAATGTATATTACATGACATGGTGCCTGTATGTTAAGTTTTACCCTATGTGTCATACTTTGTTCATTACTGAGGAAGAGCTAACCTGTTGCAGAAGTAGTGCTATACCCCACAGGTGTGGCTCCTTTTATAATTGTGGCACAACTGTTCTTTCATGGTGGTTGTTCTCCACTTGTTTGATTACTGTTGCACCTTCACCAGCCGCTCCACCTTTGCAATGTGGGATTCTAGTTTTGGGTGAGAAGAGATAGTACCGTTTCGGAAGTTAACATTTTTTAACACTGAAAATGTATTTCTGATAGGTACTTACCTCAACTCACCCACTTCCCACCTTTACTCCTCACTGAGTTGTTGGTGTTTCTGGTTTGTTTCTCAAAAGTGAGGATTGTGCTGCAATGGTAGAAGGAGCTACCTGAGCTAATATAGGTGGTGTAGTATGATTGTTGGCGTGTAGTCGCTTGATCAGCACATGTTTCTGTAATGGCACAAAAATGAAAGGGCATAAAAGACCGGTGCGCTGTTGGAAATTTTAGCAATGCTTAGAGGGCAAATCAAGGTGGAGATAGTTTTGGATGACAGGAGGAAAATACCTTTGGAAATACAATTTCAATGTTAGAAAATGTTAACTTACAGTACTTACTCTCTTAGGACTGGTTATTCAGTTTTTTCTCTGCATTTATTTGAATTGTTGCTGGTTTGTTCTATCTTTTTTTAGGAAAAAAGTTATTTTCCTTCTTTCTGGCTTATGAACATAAGCATTCAAGTCTTTCCCACTAACACATCTATGACTGTTTTTGCTGGTTATATTCATACTTCTTCTTTGACTATTCCTTTTTTCTTTGGACTTGGGCCATTGAGAAGGGAAATTGATGCTTTCTTTTATATCCTTTCTTCATTTCAAGATATGTTCTCATTCTCAGGATATTTGTAGGAGGTTGCATAATTTTTCTGGATTATATTTTATAAAGTTTGGCTCCTGACTAAGTGTTTGGTAGTTTTGATGCATACAATTAAACTTGCATTAAACTTTTTCATTCAAATTGTGTTGATAAAATAATTTATAACAAAGCTACTTCTAAAGAGGATAGATCAGTAGATATATATTTATGTGTATCCCTAAATTTACAGTCTTTTTCACATGTCATGAATAGAATGAAGAAAAAACAGAAGATACAGTGCGGTTTAAGTATTTTGACCCAGGCAGCCATTGGTGTAAACTATGTAATGAAGTTTATGCAACTCTTCCTCAGCTATTTGATCATCTGCACAACAGTACACATAAGCAGGTATGTAGAGGAGAATACATACCTTCTGGTATATCTAGTATCAACTTTCTCGCTTTAATTAACTTTCCTCTTAAAATTATCACTGTTTAATTCTGTTGTTTTTTCAGAACTTTAATGTAACTTCTGTGTGTAGAAAAAACATTGTATATACATAGTTATCATATTATAAGAAGATTCACAAAAATATGTTTTGTAATTTATACCATATTTGCTGTTTTTTTAATTATTTTCTTCAACTATAGTTTATTAAGCTATATTAACTAGTTTTATGTTTATTAATAACAATATCTGTACAAATTAACAGAAGTGAAGCTCATTGTAAAAGACAAAAACAAACAAACATGTTTGATTATTTGTTGTATTGTATTTTGGAAAATTTAAAGCTTATAGCCCTTTGAAATTCTTATGCATTTATGCTATTTTCTATTCCACCTTTAGCTATACTATATATTTCAGGTGGTGTATTCCCACTTAGTTATGTATGAAGAAAGTGAAAGCACTGACTGACATTGTGTACATACATTTATATATTTGTACAGTATGTGAATAATGATAACTTCTGATCAGAGTAAACTATGTACTTACTAAAGTGAAGCTAAAAGTCAACCTGGCCATCAGTATAGCTAATTAAATGTACTTTTCTTTCATTTCTTCTTATTAAGATTAATGTATTGTTTTATCAGTTGGGTACCCTCACTGTTAATGTTTTTTTTTATCATAATTCCAATAATATTTCAATAATAATGTTTAAAAGGTTTAGATTATTCCTAAATATAGATTTAAAGGAAAATAAAAAGTAGTTATATCTGATAGAGTAACTAATGAAAACAACAATAAATAAGCAAAATAGCATACCCTACTAAGGGAACCCTCAACACTAGTTATTGTCTTAAACTGTAGTCTTTGATATATACATCTTTGGAAATTAGAATCTTGCTTTTTCTAATACCACATTTTACCACAGAAAACTCACTATGCCATCCTTACTGTAAAACATCTGAGGCTATTCCATTCTGTAACATTTCAAACCATATGGTTTAGTTTAAATTTGTAGTGTTTACGAAGTACGTACAGATTATTATTAAACTACATAAACTACCAAACACAAAATATTTTTCCTCTCAGATGTTTAAGAGTTATATTTTATCAAAAAAAGTAATGAAACTGACATGTAACATTTTAAATATTCTTTAGTATGATTTCATGTATATATCTATAATTTTTATTAAGAACTTTTGAATGAAAGTAAAGAGTATTTAATAATGTCTGTCTCACTAACTGATGTATCTAATGCTAATGAATCCCTTCGCCCAAGACCAGAGCTCTTAAGGCTGACTAGGATATGACAGTATCCTGTTCTTTTAGTGCTTTTATAAACATTTACTAATTTTAACTCTTATTAAGCTGTGATTGAATTAAAATACCATTACCAGCGAACAGTTTTAAAAGCACCAAAGTGGTGCCAACAAATACAGTAAGATACCACAAGTAGACATTTATGTTGATGGAATAAATTTGGAAGAGTCATCCTCCTTCATCTTTGTGGGACAGCTTATTATAAAAGATGATATAAGCCATACAGAGATAGAAAGACAAACAGAGATAGTTAGATCAGCATTCAAAAAAATGTAACAGCTACTTAGAAATAAAAATATTTCTATATGCTCCAAAGTAAGTGCAATAAAATATTAGATCTAGTCAGCACTAACTTGAGTATCAGTAAAATAATATAGAAATGCCTTGATGGTTTTGAGATATGGATGTGGAGAAGAATCTTGAAGATCTGTTGGACACAAAAATATGAAACTGTGGTATTTATAAAAGTGCTGGCTAGATGAAAGAATTAATAAGAAGAAGGCTATGTACCTTGGATATGTAGTGAGATACATAAATCTTCAAAATTTCATGCTGACAGTGATATTGAAGGCTATGTAACTTAAAGTAGATGAATAATGTCATAAGGTGGATGAAGAAAAACAACTACCAACATAAGAGACATGAAAATGGTAGTCAATCTGAATCATAGAAGACACATAAAAAGCTGTGATTGTATAATCCAGCCATCATATTTATTTATAGGCTAAGTTATGCAGTGAAACACTTTTCTTACTGAGTGGGGAAAAAACAAACCTTCTCTGCAAAAGAAATGCAACCTCTTTTGCAATTATACTGTTGTATCTAAATCAACAGATGTACTTTTATCTAGGAAATTGACCTTCAGCCAGAATTGTAACTTGATTACTAAAGTATATGCTTAATCCTATTAATAAATACATCTTTATCAATTAGCTTGAACATAAAAGAGATTTTTTGTTTATTTGCTAGTATTGTTTGTATTTATCTTTGTTTTATTTATAAATAAAATAATAAATTTTGTGGTATAAGTGTTTTGTACACACACATACACACACTTCTCAGTATGAATCAGTGGCTTGAGGGAGAGTATGTTTTACACATACACAAATTATCAGCAAGTTAATGCCCAAACTTTTTAATATGATTTCACAAACTAAGAATACCATAAAAGTGGTTTAGTTTACAAGAAATACCCATTTTCTCAGATGTGAAAATGGTGTCAGTCTGCATAGATTAGTAGATTATACATAAGTGTGTAAAGTGTCTTCTTGAACAGCTTTCAAATATTCTGTGAAACAATAAAATTAACAGAGCAGAATGTGAGAATACGAGTGTATACAAGAAAGTTGTTGAACAAAACCAGGATATGAAGATATAAGGTATGTTGAGTTTTAAGTAAGAAAACATATTGTTTACAACTGTAGTTTGTTAGTATACATCTTGCTAAAATTGTAAAAATAGAACATCTTAAGGAAAGACAAAATGTGTTAGTTTGGGAGAATTTGGTTTCACCCATATAAAAATTTCTGTTTGTGGAGTACTTTAACAGAAGCTCAGGAGTTTCAAAATAATGATTTTAATGTGCTCCTCTGAACTGACCAGTTTTATGACTTAACTGATAAAATTTGCTGGAAAATGAGAGATGTTGAAAGTACTGGTGTAAGAAAGTGAAAAAATAATAGACTCATAGTGAAAAGTTTTTTTTTGTCAGTGGATATTTCTTGTGAAGTTGAATACAAAGTAAAGAATGTTGAAGCTAAAGAAACTGAAAACAGGTTGTTTGAATCTGAGAGTGACAAAGCACATCTTAATTATGTGCATGCCTAATATACCAATTATGTGCATGCCTAATATACCAATTATGTGCTTATAAAATTTGGTGCATGATATGACTATTTTCAGTAACTCGGCAAAAATTGTTATGGTGTAAAAAGTAGGAAAGCTAAAGAAGAAAACATGTTTAGATACAATATTTTATGAACAGGCTCAAATGTTATGCCAGTTACTTGATCAAGACAATTTAAGGACTTCTTGTGTTGTACGATGGCTTTAAGGGTGACAGATGTGCAGAGAAGATTTAAAATTATTTTGTCACATATACGTATCTATTACAAATCAGTTTCTATAAGAATTCCAGACACATAGGAAAGAGTGAAAATGCCTTACGTGATTTTGTTGTGTATGCATCTGGACCAAGTCAGTGGGTAAAAGAACATTGAGACACCTAAGGAAGATTAGAAATGTCTTACATTACTGTTTTAAAATAACATCAATCTTAGCTGACAAAAATTTTGGAAAATAAAAGAAAATACATAAAATTTGACAGGCTTCAGTGAAGATTCCCATCACTTCTCTAAAATTTATCAGAAAAACATTTTGTCCTAATCCTCCTTTTCAAGCATGGAGTGTGTCATTGTTTTTATAGTGCCAACAAGGAAGTGAATTTGATGAAAAAACTGGACTGGATACTTATTTTCACTTGTGTGTAGCTATTATTTTTCACTTTCAACATAATTTTACAAAGGCATGAAATACATTTGTGATATGAATCATCTTTGCTTTGTTTTGAGCCAGATATTGTATAAGTGAGTGTTTTTGTTTTGTAATGTTTATTTTAAATGTACTGATAGTATTTTTCTACAATACTTGTTTATAATTTTAGAATGTAAAGTACATATATATATTTTTTTGACATTAACATTGTTAGTGATATTTACTCTACTCACATGAAGAACATGTTATATACTTGGACAAAATGATTTATACCCTCAAGCGTAATAGCAAATATGGTAAGATTTTAGAACTGTTTTTGCTTGTGATTAAGATGAAGAAGATAAACTTTAGTTTGAATTGAAAGTTCATGAATTTTTAATGTGAAAATGCTAGAAAATGGATGCACTTGACCGCCCATGGGCTCCAGAGAATAAGAAAAAACATCCAGTTGAAAAGAATATTGCTCCAAAAATTCTTATTCCATTGAAAGGTTAGTATCATATAGAAATATTTATATTAAAGGATGTTTATTTTCAGCTTTATATTTGTAACTTCTGCAGGTAAGAGTATAGCTTCAAAATTGTTTTTGCTCATACATGTAAATGTTCTGTAGAACAGAGAAATATATTTATGAATTTGATGAAAAATATTTCCTGATGCTGAGGGAACGTTCAGTAAATTCTCAGTATATATTTGTTGCAGTAAGTTTTTTGTAAAATAAAACTGACAGAACAGGTTCTGCCCTGACTTAGTCTTTAACATGAGACTATAATTGCACACCCTTGTTTTGAAGTCAGTTCTCTTCCAACTAAGCTACCAGCTTAAAGCCAAAGCAGACAATTCCTTGTAACTATTATAGCTACCACTGAATAACTAGTTATATATATTTATTATAGAGTAGTATTATCATCAGAGCAGAACAAAACTCTTGACTGTAGCTACGTGGAAGTTCTGTTATATTTATGAGCCAAAGCAGGTGCAAGCTATGTCAAAACCTTTACTGAATCTTTTTACTTAAAATTAAACCAAATTAGGCAATATTAGTACATTAAAATTTTCTTTCTTCAATGATTGCATAGTACAATGCCTAATTTTAATGAAAAACTGTAATACGTACTTTTTTTGATAACAAGTTTCAGAACCTGTACTTTGTTAATAATTCAATCTACTTGCACATATTACATATCAATGTAAAGAGAATTTTATCCACTTTTTGTGATAAACATTGTTTTGTTACATAATGTAAGTAAAGCTACAGTATGAACATCCATAGATTTAGTCACACACAAAAAATGTGTGAAGCAACATGCAAAATCTTTACTGTTAACATAAAAATACCCATTGGGTACTGTTATGGGGGGGGGGGGGTACCTTATGTTGCCCATGGGACTAAATTCTTCAGTTGGGTACCCTTGCTGTTAGCAGTGTTTTCAGCTTTTCAGTAACAAAAGAAGTCTAAATATTTATAGGTTTCATAAGATATCTAAGCATCCCATTAAATTTTCTGAGTGTATCCACAATCTACACATTATTCTGTAAGTACATTGCAGCCTAGGTTTTGGTTTGGATGATTATGCTCTATATAATTGATAAAAAAATTTTATTAAAAGATCCTTTATAAGTGTTGAACATCTCATTGATAGTCTAGACTATAGCTATGGTTTATAATTGTGATGAGGTGTTGACACTTCCATTAATACCAGTGGAGAAATCTATTAATATTCCTGTTGAAAATATTGTGAAAGATAACCAAAGAACTACTAGTCCTTAAGAATAACTGGTTCAACTGCTTAAGCTAGAGCCAAAATGTTATATTGAACATGAATGGGGAATTTTATGCACAAAGGTATGTACTACGTATGGTGTATCTATATGCCCCCAATGTTTCTCTCATCTCAGAAAAAGTAACAGCAGAAAATAGATTTCTATCCAATTTTGTTTTATTTATGTACTATAAGAGCTGGATATGGGTTTGTAACAAGGTTATTTTAAACTTAACTTAAAGGAATGGTATATAAAGTGGGAGTTTTATTATGATGGCTTACAAAAATTAGGGACAGTTAAATGATTGTGTATCATGGCATTTTATTGTGTGTAGTAGCTGTTATCTTGATTAATAAATTCAATTTTGAGCTAATATGTTTAATAAATTAAACAATTACCATTCAACAGTTTCAAAAACTGAGAAAAACAAAAAAATAAGACTGAAGAGAGGGAAGAAGAAAAAACTTGGAAAAATAATAATCTTGTGTCCTTCATAATATAGAAAACTTGCTAAGAAAATTAAGACTGGAATGCTAATTTTAAAAATATATATAAATTAGAGATTGAATAATTATAAAAAAGGTGTGATTTACTTTATTAAATGGAGCAAATATTCTTTGAATAATATGGATGAAATAGGGAGAGAATTTGATATGAATTTCCAGAAGTATGTTAAGGCCTTGTCTCTTATTTTTGAGCAGGTACAGGATTGATTTTATAAATAAAATGTAATTAACATAAAAAAAATGAAAGATGCTCATTTGATAAGAACTTTTGAAGCTTTGTATGGTATTGAGCCTTACATTGAACTTTAACTAATGTATATGTTCTTAAGTAGCCGTAACTATTAGTGTATTGAGGTGAGTCAGGAAAGAAACTTGTATGCTAAATTAAGACAAAGAAAATGTTTGTTGCACTACAGAATTTCCAGATACAAGTGAAACATATATTTACAATAAAGATAGGTTTTAGTTTTTACCCATAAGTAACTATTTGTGCTACTTATCATTTCAAAAAAAAAAGAATTTCAGATATGAAACTTGCTGCTAATTTAAAAATTCTCAACCAGAATAACATTCTTACTCGGTTGATGTTTGACATAGATTTTTTAAGGTGTTAATGCTGCAGCACACAGTACATTAGCTTATCAAATATGCATATTACTTTACTTTCATTACACTTTGTTTTATAATTAACATATTATCAACTTAAAAATGGATTTAAGGAAATAAAAAGAAGCTACAGAGTGCTGCAAGACAGTTAAGAAAAAATTATATATATGGATTCACTGCATGTTTGTGTTTTATTAATGTAGACTTTAAATTTTCTTTTTTGTTTCCAGTGAAACTTGATTATTAATATTTTGTAAAATAAGGAAAAATGTATGAGAATTAATAGGGTAAAATACAATGATGTAGTGCATTCATCAGTAGATGAGTAAATAAAAAAAAGTGAATGCTTGTAAAATGTTTTAATACTGCATAATTGCTATTACTTTAAAAGTTATTGTTGTTCAATATTAGGGGTTCAGTTTATCTACCCCATCTCTGGATTTTATTGCTCGTTGTGCAAAGAATTCATGGGTGATGGAGCATGTGCAGATGGGCATTTGAAAAGTCAGAAACACAATCGCAGTTATATGGTAAGATTTTGTGATTTTAAACACTATTTATAGCTATTCTTCAGTTAGATTATTATTTTTTACTACTATTAATAAAGGTAATTAATTAGCATAGGAAGTGAAATATGTTTTCTGATATGTAAAAATAAATAAGACCAAAGTGGTTTGTATGTTTTTTAAAGTATTTTAAAATGTTTCCTGAATAGTTTATTTAATGTTGAAGAGCTGTGTGTGGGTTTATGAGAATTACATTTTAAATAATATCATTCTCCCGTTGTATTTGAAGTATTAGAAAGAAAAGGGCAAAATAGAATATTAGATTTAAAAGAAAGTATTATTTTTAAGAGTTTACATAAAGCAATATCTTTCAACACATTTTAGCACAAGTATGTAATTGGTATATGACTTCCAAAAATTAGTGTTCTTGTAATATCTTATTTTGAAACGTTAGACAAATTCCAAATTAGTGACTTAAATGAGATTCTAAACAGAAAATTACTAGAATAACTATTGTGTTTTCTCTACAGAAATACACTCTTTTGAATCCATTCTATGAACGAAGATGGAACTTAGATAAAACTACAGCTGTGGCACAACATGAAAAGAAAAGACATATAGAAGAAGAAAAGCAGCAGCTGGCAAAAAGAATGAAGCAAGAAAAGGAAGCAGAAAAACGAACAAAGGCAGTAATAGAAATTGAAAAACGAACCAAAGCTGAAAAAGAAAAAAGTAAAGAAATTAATGAATTGGAGGAAGATTTTGTAACTCCTCCATCAAAGAATCCACATACACCTACTGAGGAAATTCAAGAAAAGTCGAAAAGCAAAGGTATCAAGCTAACATTACTTGGTGATAAGTCAAAGAATGATGTCCAGAGAAAAAATGATGCAGAAAGCAAGAAAGAAATTAAACCAAAGATGGTTATAATAGGTAAAGCACCCAACTATAGGTCAATGTTAGCTGCTAGTAAAACTGAAGATACTAAAGCATCAGTGTTTGGAAAGTTAAATTTGAAAAAAAATGAACAAGAAGAAAACAAAGAAGAAGCAAAGCAAGACTCACCTGAGATATTTCAAGTAAATAAAACAAATGCCACTTCAAAGATTACAGATATTTCTGGAGTAAACAAAAGCCTTGCCTTGTGTGAGGAAGACACAGCCAAGGCATTTACTGGAGAGACTCAAACTAAAGAAACAAACAAAACTTTTCAGGACTTTTCACAAGGTAGTACCAGTTTATCTCCTTCTGGAGAAAAGTGTAAGAAATGTAGGAAAAGAAAAAAGCAATGCAATCATGACTTTAAGACTTTACATACCTTTGGTCCTCATTTACCAGAGACTTTTGCAGCTGGTCCAGTCACAGAAGAAGAACATGATCTCAGTATGTTAGGCATAGACAAAGCTGATATGATACCATTGGCGAAACCTAAACCTCCACCATCAGTTCTGAGGTCAATTTCTTGCATTAAAATGGCAATTGAAGCCCAACAAACTCAAAAAGTAGTTGATCAAAAAATGGCAACAGAGTCTAGTGAATGTGAAATACAGGATCAGGAGGAAATGACAGATGAACTATTAAAGCAAGAAGAAAAAAGTGTTTCTGCTGTGGCTTCTATGAAAAATATAGTTGAACCACACATGCCTAGTGAGTTTGACTTAAACACACACAAAGAATTGCCAAGTCCAGCTAATGTAAATACTGACCAACTAAATGCTAGTAAAAAACATTTAAGCTTACCTTATGCAGGAGGGAAATGTAAGAGATGTAGGAGAAAAAGGCGGAAACAATGTACTCATTTCTCAAAACCTTTAGGTACTTTTGGTCCTGGTTTACCATTTACATTAACAGCCGGTCCAATCACAGAAGAAGAACATGACCTCAATATGCTAGGCATTGACAAAGCTGATATGATACCATTGACAAAACCTAAGCCACCACCATCTGTTACAAAAAAAATGCTTGAAGACAAAGGTATGACAGAAGCACAGTGTAAAGATATAATCCAGGAAGAATCCATAACAACATTTGTTGGAAGTGATTACAAAACGGTAAGAGCAATAAAGCATGAAGAGAAAGCTACTTGTTTCCTTCCTACTGTAGAAAAAATGAGTGAGTCATATACAGGTGATCAAGTTGCCTCAAATACAGATAATGAATTACCAAAAAAGATTGAAGGAACCACTGGCCAAATATTTACTAAGGTTCAGTTTGGGTCTAAAGAAACCAAAACCTCAAGTGGTGACACAACTTTTAGTGTTGACAAACCTTTCCTTAATGACAACATAAAAAAGGTAAAGATCTTATCCAAAATAAGTGAACATTGTTTCAAAGAAAAGGAACATCTTGGAGTAAAAACATCTACTTTCACTGAAGTGGAAGACACAGAAAAAAAACTAGCAAATAGTATTACTGATAATACTAGTCATGAAAATGGGTTGATGTGTGAAAAAGAAAATATTAATATCTTAAACCCAAAACCAAGTGGTACAGGTATCCAAGATCACAAAGTCCAGTGTGATTTTGTAACAACCTTCACTGAAGGAAAAACTATAGCAGACATTGTAGAAATGCATGTTACTTCTAATTGTGATGATGAGAAGAGCTCTAGTATAAGGGAAAATTTCAGTGAAGAGCTTTGTGACAAAAATCTTTTTTCAACAAATATGAAAGAAGAGTCTGGAAACTCTCAAAAACCAGAAAAGAAAAAGGAGAAAAAAATGCATTTCACTGATGTTAGACACAAAGACCTCCATTCAGATTTTGCTTCCAGTGAAAAACAAGGAGGGAAAAGAAAGAGTAACCCTCCTGTTTTTGTGGAGAAAGAGGAAGGTGGAAGTAGTAAAGAAGAAATTACTTGTGAAAATAGTAAAAATGTTGTAGATAATGATGAATGGATGGGTTCTGAAGATGATGTTGAAGAAACTTTTATTTGGGAAGTTACAGAAGATGTTGAGTACAATGATGAATGGGAGATTACAGAAGATGTTGATAGTAATGGTGAAGACCACGATGAGTGGGAGATAACTGAAGTTGTTGAAGGTGATAGTGAAGATGATGTCGAAGATGGTAATAGAGAGATGAATACTAAAGATATGAAAGTTTCTGAAGGTAATGATGAAGAGAAAATTCTCGAGGAAAGTGAAAATAATGAGGTAGGAAGAGTAATTAATGATGCTTTAACTGTTGTTGGTGAGGTTATTGATGACAGTGAAGAAAATGTGGAGTGGGAGGTTACGGAAGAGGTTGAAGATAATGGTGAATGGGAAGTTACTGAAGAAGTTGAAGATAACAGTGAATTAGAAATCAGTAATGAGGACAGTGATGGTAATGAGAAGAAAAATATAGAAGATGAATACAACAGAGCTGGAACTAATAATACTGAGAGAGATCATACTGAAAATTATAAAGAAATGAATATAAAACAAAAAAGAGTAGTACCAGAAGATCATAGAAACAAAATTGAAATAAATATTACTCAAGCATATGATGATAATGAAGAAGAAGTTGAATGTAGCAAAGAAATAACTAAAGTGGTTCAGAGAAAAAGTCCTGAACACTTGAAAACTTGCATAGGAAGAGAGCACTCCAAAGATGCTGAAAGTAATGATAATGGGGAAACTAAGAGTGTCTTCACTAATAAAGAAATGGAATTCTACAAGAGGGCTGAAGATAATAATAAAGTCAAGGAAGAAATAAGCGATATTGAAAGCACAATTTCTAAAGATATAGGTGATTGCAAAAACAAGGCTGCTGAAGATCCTAGTAATGTTGCTAACAAAATTAACAAAGATTCAGCTGTTTCCAAAGAAAAAACTGCTGAAGGTGCTAGTAGTACTGTTGACAAGATTAACAAAGATGCAACTGATTCAAAAGATAAGTTTGCTGATGGTACTAATAATGCTGTTGACAAGATTAGTGAAGACTCAGCTGCTTCCAAAGATAAGGCTGCTGGAGGTCCTTGTAATACTGTTGACAAAGTTAGAGAAGACTCAGCTGCTTCCAAAGATAAGGCTGCTGGAGGCCCTTGTAATACTGTTGACAAGGTTAGAGAAGACTCAGCTGCTTCCAAAGATAAGGCTGCTGGAGGTCCTTGTAATACTGTTGACAAGAATAGTAAAGACAGGGCAGTTGCCAAAAATACAATTGGTGACAAAGACATTACTAAAAATACTGTTGTTACAAAAAGCAAGGTTGTGAAAGATGCAGGTGATGATGATGGCAGGGTGTCTGAAAGTACATGTAATAGTGAAGGCAAAATCACTGAAGATACTAATGATACTCGAGGAAAAATTTACAAAGATATTGAAGATAAGAAAAATAATGAAGGGGAAGAGCTCATTAGTGGTGACATGCATAATGTTGAAAATGTTGTTATTGAGGATATTGACACTAAATTTACTAAAAATCTTGAGAAAAAGGCTGAAGAAAGTTCTGAAAATGATAATAAGACTAGAATTAGCATTGGTAATAGTCAAAATAAAGTTGAAAAAGACAGTGTGAGATGTTTAGAAAGTGCTGATAAAAGTAGTGAAGGGATTAAAAGTAAAGAATATATTGTTAACAATGACACACTGGGGAGTACTGGTGATTACACTAGAAAAAGTTATGAAAAAGAAATCATTAACAAAGAACATACTGAAAGCACAAACACCAAAATTGAGAACATTAGTACTGAAAATTATACTAGTCTTCAAACTCCTGAATGTATGAAGGAAGAAAAGGGTTATCAAAATTATTTTCAGAAAGACGTGGGTCAGGAAGCTCAAGGTAGCAAGAATATTGAGTCAGTAGGTATTTTGTCTCTAGATGAAGTTGGACCATCTTCTCCAGAAAATACAGAAACTGGGGTAGATGAAGAGGCCATCTGGGAGGTGTCTGGTGATGCAGATGGTTTAATGGAATTAATTGAAGGAGTTGCCAGTGATTTGCTCGAGTCAGGTGAGCCAAACCATTTTTTTGCTTCATGCTTAACTTAAGTAATTTTTAAGATTGCATATTACTAGATATTATTTTTCTGTAGTTGTACCACTAGTGCTGTTAGTTGGATTCATCCTCTAAAAATATAAAGCTAAGCCAAAGGTTTAGTACTTAACAACAAATTCTCTAGTATGTTCAGAATTTTTTAAAAGTAATCTTAATCAAAGGCAGTATTAAAACAAGATCTTCATTGTATGTAAATCTTTATTAAAAGATAACTGCATAAGAATTTTTAAGTTTTGTGCATATGTTCAATACATGTGAACAATTTATGGGAACATTTTTATTTATAATTTCTATCACAAGTTTAGGGGGGAAAACCTAATTAGAAAATTGTTGACACTGTAAGCTGTGTAGTTTTATGTTCATTTTTAATACAGTGACGTCACAAGTTTAGTTGTTGAATCATAGGAAGATAAATGCATTTTTATTATTATTGCTTGAAGTGTATTCATAAACTTAGCATTAAATGTGAGTAAAACTTTGCCATAATTTGCTTAAAACTATCATCTTGAGCCCTTTCTTTTTCAGACGAAAAGGTATAGTCAGTAGTGGCTAGAACATGAAAGATTTGGATGAAACAAGGAATAATCTTGATAATCAGTGAGACAAGACTGTGACCAGTGTTCTCCATGGTGAGGGGAAAACATTGTGTGAAACTTAGAATTTAAAAAAATATATATATGAATCATATGATCCCTTGTGACAATTATATTGATCCTAAGATTCCAAGGATATGGATATAAGGAATGGAATGTGGAAAACATATTTGTGAGGATCTCATATCCATGGACATTTATGTGAAATTTAGGATTCTGTAAAAAGAGAAAAAGAATTTGAATTTATTTAAAGCAAGACAGCAGTTGAAATCTTTCAATGTTTTAAGTCAAGACTACGATGTCCAGAATCATTTGTTGAACATTTATGGATGACATCTGATGTGTGTGTGTGTGTGACATTCATAAAAAAGACTAATTTCAAAAGTTAAGTTGGAAAAAGTGAGTATTTCATAAAGATTTAATGAGTGAAATTATATGTAAAGACCATTTGATTCCTATACAGAACTGTGTTGCAACTAAAATGAGTAATTTGGAATGTTGGCCTATAATTATAGGTGAAAAAAAACAGTGAAGAAAACCTGAAGCTTGAAAGTACCATATTATTGTTTAAATAAAAAATCTTACAATTAAAATGTTGAATTTGGACTAAACAGATAATATTGTTCATGTTTTTTTAACTTTTCTCTGCTTCCTTTTTGTTTTGCATAGGTGATTGTAATTAAAATGTGATGTATGTTGATCTATGTGCCTTTGTTTTCTTGGTTATTATTGTAGTGAGTAATGGTTTATATAAAATTTATTAGCTTTGACACATTACACTGGGTTTGGCACATGAGTGGCTTAATTAAGACTGTTCTTTTTGTTCAGGTTTCTATCAGAAACTAAAATTGAGAAAAGTGTTTGGACGTTAAGAAAAGGAAGTGATTGTAGCCATTATACAACACTTTTATCCTGAAAATTTTACAGATTTCTTGAAATGGTCCTTTCAGTTATGAAACTGTGTATACAGTTGTGAAGTTATTTTTACTATTTATTTTTTTGCAGCTCTTCTCCAGATTTCACCCCATGGGACAAAATAACATTAACTAAGGGCTCCTTGCTATAAATAATTTTTGTTCATTGACCTATTATGGTTATTATATATTATATAAATTATATATTACACAATATACATCTTTTTCAAAGCAATCCACTGTTTGAGGCACCACATAAATAAATGTATATTATATGGAAATAAGTTTGATTAAGATGTATATAGCTAAGAACTAAACCAAGTTCTAATCTTCAAATATTAATTGCTGAAAGTTATTCAGAATCAATAAAAAAAACATGTTATTTACTAGAATGACTCCATTTCATCAAATGACACACTGCACATGGCAGTTCTTCACACTGTTGTTTTGGGTGATTCATTTCTGCAAGCTGATTAGAAGCTACAGATTTTTAATAGTTTCTGGTGTTTACTGTCAACTATGTATTGAAGTTTTATTTCTCTTTCTCTGTTTTATTTTTTGAAGAATGTTAAAGTTTAGCAGCCAGTTAGGTATTAGAACTTTTATGTGAGAATTAATGAAGTCTTAATTTACATTTTCTTAAAGTACATACAGTTTCCTCTGGTTAAGGTTTACAGAATTACATATAGTTGCCAAGATGCAAAGTAGTCTAAATACTAAATGGGTGGGGGGAACATTCATTGGTATATAAAAAAAAATTATTTGAATTGTGTCTTCTGTTATAGTTTAAACATGCTGTTTTATTTCATGGGTTTAGTTGTATAATTTCTTGAAACTGTGATAGTACAGGCTTTTATGATAGTGATGTAGATGTGCTTTAAGAAATAATACCATTGTAAAGGCTAAAGTTTTGAAGTACATAAAAACTTAAGATTTGTGTGTGAAAGACTTGGAAAACATATCTACCAAGGCACAAAACCTGAAGCATAAAAGTACTATATTATTGCTTAAATAAAAAATCTTACAATTAAAATATTGAATTTGGACTAGATAGATAGTATTGTTCATGTTTTTTTAACTTTTCTCTACTTCCTTTTTGTTTTTGCTTCTGGGATTGTAATTAAAATGTGATGTATGTTGATCTGTGTGTTTTTTTTTTCTTGGTTATTATTATTAAGCACAGGATCTTCAAACATAAAAGATCTTTTCATTATAACCCTTTTATTGTCAACAATTCTGGCTCCATCTTTGAATTGCCAAGTATTTTTCATTGCCAAAGTTTTTCACCATCAGTTGATGTTTGCAATTTATGTCTAAAATTAGAGTTTAGGGTTAGAATTTAGGCTGAGCAAATTGAAACATTGTTTCTGTCTAGATAAAATTTGGAAGTAATTGTAAATTTATGCTTAAAAAAGATTATAAATAAGTTGATGGTAAAATAACTGATATGCAAAAGTGAAATTACTTTCAGAAAACTTATGTTTATATTTTATTCTCATAGCAAATAGATTTAGAATTCTAATTTAGTTCAAATATGTATTCCTAAACAGTTACTGCTTTCTATATAAGCCTAAATTTCAATAAAATTTTAAAAATCTGAGCAAACAATTATTCAGCAAGTTCTTGTGTTAATTCATTCTTTACGGTGTGTAATGGTTAAATTTGGTTACTGATACTTCAGACTTGCTGGAGAAATGTAGCACTTCTGGTATAGATTCGTAATAAGTAAAATTATTTTCGTTTTAACAAGGCCTATGTATTACCAAGCCTATTTCATAAGAGTAAATTCATTCATTGTTTCTTATAACAGAAAATGAAGATTTACGTTTTCTTTCACGTTAAAGAATTTATACTTCTAAAATACACATTAAAAAACCTGTTACAAATTGGGGTGCCTCCCCAGTAGCTAAGCAGTAAGGCTGAAGGCTTATAATGCTAAAAAACAGGTTTTGATACCTATTGTGGGTTCAGCACAGATAGCCCATTGTGTAGCTTTGCGCTTAACAACAAGCAAATGAAGTAATGGAGTATTATTTCTTGGCATTTGTGTATAATGTTATACTAATAAATTTACACATAACATTAAAATAAGTTACAATTAAAATATTGTTAATTCTAATAATAACCCATTGCCTTAAAAAATGCATCTACCACACACCACACTCTATTCACTTTATTGAAATTAAAACATTTTATTCATTTATGCAGGATGTCTAATGATGGAAGGCAAACAGATGTGAAGGTAACTAAAAAAGTAAGACTTGCTGAATTTAGACCAGGAAGTAATCTAAATTTATGCATTTTTTTCTTTTCTTTTTACAAATAATAATTAAAATATTAGGAATAACTAGAGTTTTGCTATCAATATAAATGGTGATTGGGACTGATAAGGTGAGTGCTGTATGAAAATTTAGAAGTTTTTAAAGTGTTTTTGTGTCTGACACATGCACCTCATTAGTGCTTAATTGTAGGAGTGAAAGTTCAATAGTTCTAAGCTTGGTGTTTTATAACAATTTGTGTGAAAATAGTGTTTATGATCTTCATGAAGAAAAATATTTTGTCACATTACCATTGATAGTTTTTAGTATCTATTGCTGAAACAGTATTGTTGTTAATTTCTGGGTTTGCAACAATGGCTGAGAATAAAAAGGGTTATGTTGTTAAGAAGCACTAACATCAAATATATCTGATCCAAACCTGCTTCATGAAATTATAGCAGTGGAAAGCAAAACTAATTGTTGAAATATCACTATGTGCTTAAGATGGTATGTTTAAATTAATTAGGGGAAATTTGTTTGTACTAATTTATAAAATTAATTGGAATTGTTTTGATAGTTCTTAAGTTTATGTTCCCTGCAGATCTAGTACACTTTACATTTAGTTTGTTATGCCATGTCAGTTACTGTTATCCTCTGTATGTAGAATGGGCCCGGTGGTAAAAAGTGTTGATGTATGTGGAAATGTGCAAGTGTGTCTAATTTTTTTTTTTTTATAAACTTAAGAACTCGTAACTGAAGCTAAGGAATTTATATTGTAACAATTACTAAAAAACTGGTTTGGTACTCTTTACTTATACAGTCTGATTAATAAGTCACATTATGTTCCCTTTACAAATATATTGTTTGGTCCAACTTGTTCCAAGCAAATCAATCATCAGTTGAATCCTTTCCAGAGGACTGAGCAAGCTGATGCTACATTTATTGTTGAAAGCTACTGGTTGCTTAAATGTGTGTGTTGGGTATAATCATCCAGATCTGATTTATTTTGGATTACTCTTTCCTCCTCATCAGTATACAGATTCTAATACATATTGAATTATTTGGCTGAAAGGTGGAATAGAGAAATTTTGGTAGATCTGTAAGCTTGTAACCTAAACAGCTGACTTGTGATCATACAAGTGATGTCAAACTTTATTCATGGAAATTATATATAGATATTAAGTTTGAGTATAAAATTAAATACAGGGGTGTTATACCCAGTTTTTTTAGCATGTTTTTATTGACATTTGCACATAAACTTTGAACGTGTCTATAATTAAAATACAGTAACAGTTGTTACTATAAGATAATATGTATGTGTTGATTATGTTTCAGTTTTTCATGTCAAAACATAGCTATGTTACATCTTATAATAATCTTCATTAATCTTGTGCTCATTGTAGTTTAAAAATTTCCAGAATAAAAAATTTCTACAGATACTGACCATGTGTTATCAGCGCACTCTTCTCAAGCTTCTGTATTAGAGTTTCATAACAGCTTAGTTTAAGATTGGTGAAACAGCCTCAATTATCACATCAATAAAAGCCACACCATATGCTTGTGAGAAAAGCTTCTTTAGTTTTCATTGAAACTAACTGACACATTGACAGTTTTACATGCTTTTACTTATTGTTGGTTGCTGTAATAAACTTGTGAAAATGTTAAAGTACTATTATGATTTTTTGTTACACTAAAAGGAACACTTAGGATACAAGATCACTCCTACAATGTCTGTGGCATTCAGTGAACATGTAAAAAAACAAATAGCAAAACTGTGTTGATGTTTGAAACCATTGAATATCAGGATTCATGCTAGAACTGTGATAGCAGCTACGTGTAGATGATGATGCCTCAAGATGCTTCTCCAATTCCTGTGGTATCAGTAAGTACATAAGACATTTTGGAATCATGGCCACCCAAGTGAAATTCAGACGATGTGGTAGTGACAAGTGAAACCTGCTGGACGTACTTACCTACATAATTAAGATGCTAGGTAAGCAGAAATTGGATGTCTTTTTTTTTTCTCTCTCTCTCTTTCTGTGTTGCCTTAATAGAATGAGTGTAGTGATTGGACTATTTTCATAATGCAATTTAAAATGTGGTAATATTTCAGATTAATTAATCTAAACAGATTACTTGTGTATTTTGCTATGCAAAGGCAAAAAATTTATTTCTTGATCTGAATATTAACCAAAGAGGATTTAAGTGATTTCTAGCTCTGCAAGGTAAACATCATTGTCTATGAAAAGTTATTCAGTAAAAATTGTCAGGTTCTTCAAGTTGTCCATTTGTGAAGTCTATAAATAAATTAAAGGGGCAGATTTTTATAATTAAATAGTTTTTCATTCAATAAACTGAAATTAAGAATAACATTTTTTTTCTAATAGAATATCTTACCGCCTCTTATAGAATAGATTCTCGTGACTTGTATTGCCCTCTATATGCACAAGTTTTTGGTTGCCACTAGCCTTATTACTCCCACCTACTCTCACTTGTTTTCATGCAAGGCAGCTGTGTGATGGCATGTAAATAAGCATGTAACAACACTCCAGCAATAGGAGTGTGACACAATTTCTTGCACACCTGTCTCCCTCTATGCAGCTTAGTCCAACTTCACTTTTTGATTGGCACTTGTGGTGTTACATTTTTTTCACTCACATTTTCTTTTATGAAATTTTCAGTCAGTTCCTTGTTTTCTTTTGAAAACTTAGTTTTTCTTTACATTTGTTACACTTGTGTTCTGAAATTTTAGTTCATACATCTTAGCATTATGTCTTTTCTTCTACTACATGATTCTTTGGGACTCCCTGTTAGGAATTTTCTACTTCCACTCTTAGTTGCAATGAATTCTGAGTTTCATGTTTCATCTACTCCCACTGCTTACAACAGGTAACCTTATTTTGACTACACTGGCATCAGGTCCACAATTGTTGGCAGAATATGTTATGGCCTTGGTTCACTGGGAGTTAGCTACCTTCGTGTGGGCTCCTGATTCACCTGAGTATTATCCTATCATGCCTTTTTCATGAGTACCTGAACAAGAGGACAATGATTTCAACAGCCTGTTTCCTCCCCCTTCCTATGCCATATAGTTAAATTTAACTCCAATGGAAGCACCCAGGCTTCTCTTCTTTCCTAGAGTTAATAAACCAGGTAAGTTATGTTCTGTCTTTGTCTCCTTTTTCCTATGACTCCTCCCCTTTTAAGTGAGACACCTTTGGACCAATATCTTATTCTCTTCCTCGCTGGATATTGGGGCTCATGCTAATAGGTTTGAGGATAAATTACATGCAGGGTTAGTATGTCTTGACTCTGGCATGGAAGCCCATGCCATGTCTTACCATAGGTATGTGTTTCTTTTTTGTACTCCCAGCAGTTGGATTATCTTCTGCCTCTATAGGGTTCGATTCCCAATACTTTTATGTAACATTCATTGTTCCCCTGAGGGTTTTTCATTGAAGATTTATGCCCTGCTTTGTTTCCATGCTTTTCCTCTTCTGCCCTTTCCCTACTCATGTCTCCTTTGTTGTTGTA